ACTTAACATTACTTATATAGTAAAAACTTTTAACATATATAATATTTGCACATAATATTTTATTTACAAATAGATAATGCAATGATAGGTTTTTTAAATAATCGTTATTAAACTATTTAACAGTTTAACTAAATGCCAATGAAAATACAAAGCCTTTTTTTTAAGACATTCAATTCAGTTGTCTAAGACAGTTGTAAGTTGTATTAAAGCAAGGTTTTTACTTAATATGTATAATATATTAGGTATAAATTTAAGACAATTAAGTTATATTAAAACAATGTCTTAATCGTAATATATATTTTATTTATTTGAATGGAAAGTTTTTTAGTTTGTTGTAGAACTAGACTAGAAATTACCTAATAAGCTTCTTATAACTTGTGTAATGTGTTTTTATTTACGAATTTGTATATTGGTATAATCATATCATGCTATTCCTACAATATTATAACTAACACTGACTCTCATAAGTTTGAGTCTCAAGTCACAAAAAAGGGTAAACAATTTTTTATGTATTTGTATTAAGTTATTATTTATTTTTTTTATTGTTATTCACCTCTGGGTTACTACCAGGAAAATGGTAAGGATAGAACTCATAACTTCTCACTATGAAGCAAGCAAAAAACATATCGTACAGAAACAGCAACAGAACATCTAAATTTTACACTAGATCTTGGTCATAATAAAAAATATATTTATTTAAATCAATACACACAAAGTGTTAATGATATACACTCAGTCAGTTTTTAATTTTCAAAAGGAATCACAATCTCATGTTTCCCTAATTTCAGAGTTGAAAGAAAGAGCTGATTTTGGCCATAAAAGCCTTAAAGGGTGCTGCAGTTGAGGAGGCTACTTTTTATTTCAATTGTAGTTATAATTCCCTCTCAACTCAATAACTCCGAAGTATTTCAATAAAGTACATGTCAAATATATTTGTGTGTAGTTTTTGTATATGATATGTGATAGGATATAGTTTTTAAAATTGATATGTTATACCAAAATACATTTTTGTGATTTTTTATTTTTCTTTGTTTTAGCAATTAAAAACTGGGACTTTATGCAATACGCATACTATTTTGATTTTATTAAAGAACAATTATAACAAAAGTATTTTTATCATACTTTAGGCTATCTGAATAAATTAAATATACACATTTTTACAATTTTTTTGAGTAATAATATCGTTATATTTTGAAAAATATACAATAATTTTCAAAACACCATACTCTAGCTATTAATAATTGATGACTGCCGTTTCTCATTGAAAATATATTAAATATGAGTCGCAGAAGTATAATATTTCACCTGAAATACTCACTTGCAATTTATTTTCATAAAAATAACTACATGAAATTGACAAATTTGCAACATCCGTGCGTGACTTCCGTGCGTGATCATTCATAAACTGCATTTAAACGATTGCAGTGACTCTATGATTCATAGTGCAATCCTGTAACCTTCTGGAAATCTTTACTAATGTTTACAATATAGTATACCGATGAAATTTATATTGTCCGAGGTATTAAAGTTTATTTATCTAGTAAGTAAAATAGAAGTTTTTCTGTTCTGTGCGTGTTCCATTTCAAACTTTATTTATTCTTTGTTAACATTATTAATTCTTACTATTTTTTGTTTACAAAATATTTATATTGATTAGAATAAAATGAGAGTAAGTCAGAAATTGCTAGTTTTATTTTTATGAAAATAAAAGTAAAAACATATACGATTTTCCGTGCGTGATTTTTTCGGAAATGCCCTTATTCTCTTATCTTTCTAACTGAAAAAAAAATTAATCTTATATTTTAATAAAACTCATGCCAAATTAAAATATAGATTTTTTGAATTTTATTATTTTCCTTTAACTTTTATGTTCAGAGTTATAGTATTAAGTTATCAAGGTGTTTAAAATCAGAACAAGTTGACTTAAATATACATAATCACATTATTTAATCTTAAACTTAAACTTAACAATAGAATATTTGAACGAGTTTACACTAAGAATTGGTAACAAAGGTTTTGGTCAACAGTTTGTGAGTTTGATTTCAATATTTTTAAGATGATTTAGAGAACAAAACCTGGACAGTATACTTTAACGCCCAGCTTTTGAAATAGCAAAAAATTTACAATCACTTTATTAAAATGAATCTAAATCATTTGCTGTAACAAATTATGTCATCCGATTTATTCAGCCGATAAATATTTTTAAACATTTTAGATTGGTTGCAGCTTAACAGAATTGTGAAAAAACAATATTAAATATTTCTAATGTTTTAAAATTTTATTTCCGTTACAAAATTTAGTGAATAAAAATGTTTTATATTTATGAGTTTGCCATGATTGCTCTGATTGAATCATGGCAAAATACTTATTCAGTTCTAACTGTTTATTAAATAAGCTTGGGTCTTTAAGGCTTGACTATGGTGTATGCAGTAAAAAATATTTAAATAAGATCTTATGTGTAAAACACTTCAATGGGCCTTTTTATATTTTTTTCTTTTTTAGGCCAACTCTCACGTATTGGCAGAAAGTTACCAAAATATGTTAAGGAGTTATTTCAAAGGTAACTTTTGTATTTCTTCATTTATATTTTTATTTGTTTTATGTATATTCAGAACATTGCAGGTATTATAAATAAATGCAAAGATTTTGTTAATTATTAATTTAATATTACTTTAAATGAGTATACATATTGCATGTGAATATTTATATAACACATTAGCAAACTAATACAAATAGCTATAAAAATGATATCAATAGAACATTTTCAAGTATTTTTATTATAAAAGTTCATTTCTTAAAAGTTAAAAAATGCTAATTTGAATTGTGAAAATTGTCAAAATTTTTACCAAATTTTAGTATTTATAATACTATAAAGTATCCATGTCAAATGTATTGAAAATATTATTAACAATATATGAACAAATTGTTATAAGTAATATAAAAATTGTTATAAGTAATATAGTATATATATATATATATATATATATATATATATATATATATATATATATATATATATATATATATATATATATATATATATATATATATATATATATACATATATATATGTATATATATATATATATATATATACATATATACATATACATATATATATATATATATATATATATATATATATATATATATATATATATATATATATATATATATATATATATATATATATATATATATATATATATATATATATATATATATATATATATATATATATATATATATATATATAAGTTTATATATTTGTGCATACAGATAAACAAATATAAATATATAATGATATCAAGATCAATTATATTGTGAAAGGCTAATTGTTTGATAAACAGTTTATTAGAAAATAAGGATTATTGAAGTTGTATCAGTGATTTTTTCTTTGAGCCTATTTCAATAGTTTTTATATTTTTGAAAGTGATTCTATGTTATATTTTACTAAACTCTCTATAAAAAATGCTCATTTCGTAAACCCTTTGATATTTGTCCTGATTTTTAATTTTTGACCTTGTTCAATGGCCAGTTAAACATTTAGTTGCACATTTTTTAATACAATTTACTTGTCTAAATGCAGCAACATGGGCATAGGAAATAAATGTTACTAAAACACCTAATCATGTCAATACTGAAAAATTATTGTAATTACATTTATCTTGGTTTTAACATATAGCCATTGATATTAAAAGTATGCTCCATAATAATCACATGTGTATTAACCAATGATATTTTATATAAACTAGTCGTCTTACTTCAATCCAAAAAGTGAAGCCGCTTGTGTCCTTTTTACAAATGACAGATTAAATCTGTAAACAAATACTATTTAACTATTTTTTTATATATGAAGTAAATATATTTTTATATATGTAATATATTTTAAATCTATATATGTAATCTATATATGTAAAAGTGTTAAGAGGAAATTAGAGTACTTGTAAAGTAATAATTTAAGACTTCTAAATTTTATTTTCAATTAAAAAGGGATTAAAATTTAAAATAGAAATAAACCTTAAATAAACCTTGGTAAGTACTTTATATTTATTATAGCATGTTTTTGAATTATCTTTAATTTATTGGTTAATTTTGACTTGCATTTTGAACTTTTATTCCACACATTTGCTTCAGCTTTAACACTTTTTACAAATGGCAAATTATATTTCTAAGCAAAAAAAGTGACATCATTTTTCGTTCAATGAAGTACCGCAAATTTGACATCTAGTTTATATAATATATCATCTAGTTTATATTATATAGTTTGTTTTGGGATTGTCCGTCAATTATTGATATTTTGAAAAAATGGAGCCAGAGGTATGTGACTTGTCATATGTTCAAATTAATCATATTTCTGAAAAGTCTCATGACTTTTAACAAAATCATATGGTGAAAAACCATCTGATTTTCGTAAAAACAGAAAGTCTAGATCACAGGTAGAGTTTTAAAAAATAAAAGGCTATACAGTTAACTTCTTTTGTATAATGGTCTCTATGCACTGACGATACAAATTAAATTAGCAGAATCAATGCATTGGTTATGCATTTATGCTATTAATTTGGTTTGGATGACTGGATTATTAAGGCTGTGGATTATTATGGTCCAACATTCATAACATACAATTTACATAACCTTATTCATTTTTTATAGTTTTCTGAATAATTGCTTCTTGATATGTCTGCTTTTTTATTTAAAAAAATATTGGCTTTTGGTAAGAACATGCCACTGGCTCAAATGGTCAAGGGTTTAAGTGAAATATAAGTAGTTCGGATTAGAAGAAAAAACACCTAACAAAATAATCATTAGTCTGAAAGAGAGCTATTTAGAAAAACAATTTATGATTCTTTGCTTAGTGAAAATGTACCATTTCAGTTTCTTTATTTACTATGCAATTCATGTTATAAAAAAATATATTGCCAAAATAACACTTGTAAAAAAATATCTTTCCATAAATCTGAACTCAAAGATATTTTATATCTTTTGAGGGTAAAACTAGACATATTTTTTTCCATTATTTCATGATTGTGTGTTTTAAATTAATTTTGTTTATTTATTCAATTAAAATTATTTTGGAGGCAATTGCATTAGTTTTGCATTTTATTGAGGTATTGTTTATTCTATTTCAGATAATGTTGCCAAACGATTTACAGTCGATAATCTTTCGAAAGCAGAAAAACTCAGGTTAGCATCAAATAGTAATTTAGCGCAATTTCTGGTATTTGTGGTATTTCTATTTGTTTAATCCGAATGTTTTTTATTTAGTTCTTAAAAATGTTTTTAATTGGATTTGTTTGTAACTTTATGTTTCTTCATATATATTTGTCTTTTAGTGTCAAACAAAGAATACGCGAATTATTTGAGATATGATTGAAATTTGCAAAGAAAGTAAAAATCAAACTAGTTTCATTTTAAGTTATTGTATATAATTTTAAAATTTTGGAATAGAAGTGATGCAACGTTTATTTATTTTTAGTCTTTTAATTTCCGTGTTCAATTATTTGCCCCGAATAAATAAATAAGAAGAAATATAGCTTGACAGCGCAAAGTTATACAGTGTAAAATTGTCTTTTATTGTTTTTTGCAATGTAGAAATAACATCAAAAATGATAGAAAAACGTTAGAGGGCGCTTTTCTTACAACGTTTCGCAACATTGTTAATATAACGTTGACCTATATTTCATATATGCCATTATTCCAACGTGTAAAAAACGATAGAAAAAACGTTGGCTCAACGTTATTTTAGCTGAAACATAACGTTAGCCTAACGTCCTTATAACGTCTTTTTTCTTCAAATTTAACGTTGCTCTAACATCTTTCCGACGTCATTTAGCTAAAATGTAACGTTGTCACCACGTCATTTTACATCGTTGTAATAACGTTAGTAAAATGACGTTTTTTTATTTATAACATCATGCCAACGTCTTTCCAACGATATGAAAGACGTTAGAACAACGTTGTTCCGACGTCGTTTTTCTTACCGGCAGGGTTATTTAATAAATGGTGGATTATTGCTATTAGTAAAAACCAGTTTTCTTTTAACAACTATTTAGGAAATGCAGCTATATTGAATGATAAAAAACCAGAATTTTTAGGAGCAATGGCATTATGGATTGATAATTAGGAAAAACAAAAAATCATGAACTGTTAGAAATTTGTTATGTCTGCTCAAACTAGTTCAGTATTTAAGCAAACACTTAATTGTCATGCTTCTTTAATTGAAGATCTATTAAATGAAGGTTATAAATTTGTCATCACTGCAAGATTTTAAAGTGATCCAATAGAGAGAAAGTTTGGACAGTGCAGACAGATGAGCGGGGGGAGGTTTTTGGTGAGCTTAAAAGACGTTTTGTGCTTTGAGCGAATTATCAAATTTAAAAGTTTAGTTATAGAAAGCATCGATATCTGCAATAGAGATAACAAACAGACTAATGAATGAAGAAGAATATTTTAGACGAACTTTCAGAAAAACTTCAGTGCACTTCTTTAAATAATGTGGCTCTGTCAGAAGATAGCAGAGAAATTGTCTTTCATATAGCAGATTATAGTGCAAATAAAATTTCTAAAAGATTAAGTAAATGCTGTCATAAACTAATGATTGGAGTAGATAAATACCCAGTAAGCACAAGACGCATTTTAGACACTTTTAGACGTCTAAAACTAGTCTAGGTAAACCGCACTCTTGTAGACGTTTTTAAGACATCTTTTAGACGTCTGGTATGAATGCGTATTTAAAATGACGTTTAAAAGGCGTCTATTTAAGCGTTCAAAAAAGGTCTAGAAGATATCTTTTTTAAAGACATCTTCTAGACGTCTTTAAGAAATGCGATTTTAACATGACGTTTAAAATGCGTCTTTTTATAGTTTAAAAATACGTTTAAAAGACGCGTAATAAATAGTTCAAAATACGCATTGAAAGACGTCTAGATCAAAGCTAAAAAACGTCTTTTCTGAGACCTGTTTATAAATATGTCATTATGACTTCTTTTTGACGGCTTTGTCATTACGCGTTAAGTAGATGTCGTATATTCAAAGTAAAAACATAGACTTTATTATTTTCAATAATTTGTTCAAATTTTAAGTGTAAATTACTTTAAATTAAATTACTTTTTTACACAATTGCTAAAATTGTTGTCACAGGAATTACTAAAATAATTGCTATTATAATATTATATCTTTTTTTTATTAATAATTATTTTGCTTTTTTAATAGATAGTTGACTGATCATGATAATAAGTGAAAATGGCAAGAATAATATATAAGTTAAATATCAGTACTTTTAGTTTTTATAGATCCACAAGCCATATAGTAAGTCAAGTATTCGGTCAAAAATTAGCTAGCTAGCAATATGTATGTTAAACTTTATTATAACTAAAGGTAAGTTATAAATGTTTTAAATACTGTTTTGATATTGTTTGTTATTGTTATTTATTATTTTCATCTTTGATGCATCAACCGTTGGTGGTGATTACAGCAATATTATTTTGATTGCTGGTTCCTATGTATATTTTGTTTTACGAAATTATAACAATATATGATGTTATAAATACAATGAATATATACCATATACTACGCGAAAATGTTACGTCATGTACATAAATTTATCTTGAAAAAAACGTCTAACATACGTCTAAAACGCGTTTTTATAAAGACGTCTTCATTTAGACGTCTTTTAGCCTTATGATCTAGACGTCTACAAGTGCGCCTTTTAGACCTCCTTAAAGACATCTTTAAAACGTCTTTTAAACGTCTTTGTGCTTACTGGGTATGATTCTCCAGATAAACAATATATTGAAATTTTATCGAGGGGAGGATTGACTATACCATCTACTAATCGGGGTAATTGTAAAAGTGTTGCTTTTGCACTTTTAGACTTTACCTTTGATGTAATTAACAACACTGATTTGCATTGAAGAACCACTGTTTAGTTTATTTTGAAAAACAATTTTTTTAAAGAAAATATTATTTGTTCTGATCACCTTTAACTTGGGATAAATGTCATTATTAAAACAATCATTAATATATTCTTAAATAATAAAAGAAAAATAATTACTAATGGTAATTATATGGACAGCATAGTTGGTTTTAAAAAAAGGCAACGAAAAAAGCAAGATTGAACATAAATATAAAAATTAACAAGAAATTATGTTTTTAACAAACTTAATATAAACAATATTTCTTTTTGGTTCTAAATTTTGTTGTTGTTGAATAGAAAGTATTTTCAAAGTTTTTTAATACATAAATACATTTTGTCTGTTTATTTGGTTTGCTTTTTGATGCGCAATAATTGTTTTATAATGGCCTTCAATTTTTGCAACAAATATGTAGAATATTAGGTTTTAAACATTAGGTAGGCCATGGTGATGCATTATTTTTGACAAGATGTTAATTTTAAAGTAGCTAAAAACGAACTTATTTTAATTATAATTAGATTGTTTTTGTTGTTATATTTTTTGGTTTTAAATAATTTAATGTCAGATATTGAATCGTGTTTTATAAAAATCTATTTATTTAGTGTTTAGTGTTCTTCTCAGGCGGTAATGTTCAGGTTTGAAATTATCAAGTTAAATTTTCCTTTCTGAAAATCTTTTATATTTATTTATAATATTTTCGTTAATTTTTTAGTTTCTAATTCAACAAATGCTTTCAACAAGTGGATAAAATCTTAATAACAAAAAAATTGTTTGTTAATTTATTTTTAGTGCCACAACTTATAAGCTGTGATACTAAGAAATAAGCTGTGTGCGGAAATGAAAAGAAGAAAAAAAAAAGAAAAAAAAAGAAGAAGCAATAAACTTTGCGCAAAAACTAAAATCTAAAATATGTTTTAATATAACATATTTGTATATTAAGTGTTATATTTTATAGATTTAGTATTATTGTAATGTATATAAAGCATCATTGTATTCTATAGAAGAGTATTATTGTATAGATAGTATTATTCTATTTTATGAGATATTTTACTTTAATATTTTACTCTAATGATTTGACTTCTCTAAATTTTATTCAATTTTTAATTTGATTTCCTGTACTTTTTTAATATTTATTATTCCCATCAAGTTGTAGCAATCTTACCCAGCGGGCACAGACGTCAATCAAACGTCTTACGGACGTCTTAACTAGGTCGCGACGTCTCAGACCAAATAAGGACGTCCTAAAGACGTCCGGTAAAGATGTCTTTATTAGGACGTCCTTGTGACGTTAATATAAAGACGATATT